GGACATTCTTTTGGATATGGGTTGAGCTCTGCAACACAGCAAGCTTCCCTGTGGCAGGGCCGAGCTTCAGACCGCGACTTCATGCTGGCCGTGGTGCAGTGCAATGGTGAGGTGAAACTGGGTGGGGACTGGCTCCATGATGTTCCTTGCGGTTCCTCGATTTATTTGCTATTTGTTGTTATCGCTAGTGCTCCTAGGTTGGAGGCCATCGCAAGTAGGTTGGAAGCCATCGCTATTAGGTTCCTGCTCTCTAGCAGGCGCTGGAAGAGGCACCACCAGAGCTTCAGCAAGATCGCGAGGCCAAAGCTTGAACGATTCTGGCAGCCGACCGGTGAGGTAAAACCAAACCGTCACAGCTTGGTGCTGATTTCAGCTTGGGAAGACAGAAGCTCAGACTGTCGGCAGGTTGTCCTTGAGGCTTTGCGTAGCTCCAAGGGATGGGCATTGCAGCGCCTCGGCCAGACTCAGACCTCCTCCAACCTTGAAGCAATGACCCTAGTAGCAATGGCCTCCAACCTAATAGCAATTGGCCTCCAACCTAATAGGAGTGGCCTCCAATCTACTGTGATGAGAAAATGAGCACAAGTCTAAGACCGGGAATAACTCTGAGGTTCGCGGCTGACAACCTCAGACGTGATCGAGAGATTGTCCTTACCGCAGTGCGGCGGAGTGGCGTGTGTTTGGAGCTGCCCGGCGGCACACCATTTCCGCATTTCCTGCGCATTCCTGATTCCTATGCCTATCGAGGAGTCGAAATTAATTCGAGCCCAGTTTGGGTGAAGACAACTAAATCGATCTGAATCGGTTGTTTGATATTTACTGTAGTGTTTCCAAAGGTTAGACTCCTACTATCCTACATGGAATTTTCTTCATGGCCAAGCTGTTAGCTGCTAGACTACTAGAGGCTAACTTTTGCATACTTTTGGTTGCCTCGGCGTCTCTCACAAACCAGGTTTGCCGCGAAGGACATGCGCGCGGATCGGGAGGTTGTGCTTGCTGCTGTGTGCTTCCCTGAGCCTCAGTTATGTTGCTTTAAGTGACCTCGAGGGAGTTGCTCAAGGCTTAGCGGCCTTAGGCTACTTGACATTTGGGCACCATGTGACAAGACTCGTTTAAGCCGGGCCCATCCATTGGCACTGAAGGCAAGTTCATGGTGAAGCCCTAGAATTCGCATCGCAAGAGCTCAGGCTGGATCTGTTGCGTTGCAAGATAGCCAGTTGATCATAAGAATCTCTGGTGCCAAGACTGGCACCTGCAAGCTGGAGAGCCAGAGGGCATCGATTTGATCAATTGTACTGATGTACTGTGCTTGTCAGTGCTTGGGTTTGCATGGCCTTGTGACAGTGACATTGTGGGAAAATCACATCTCGATCGATCTAGCAATTGCCAGGCAAGATCCAGTGCAGAGCTCAGTTTGTTTGTGCATGATAAAGCCCATGCAGGCCTTCCTTTTTGCCAGGAAGTGGTGGGAGCTGCCATTGAGACCAGAATCTTGACTGCAACATCCAGTTGAGAAGGATTGAAGGGAACAAGTGTTCAGATCGACTTGAGACCCTGTTCAGCCAAGGCCGGGGTTGGGCATTACAGTACGCATCGGAGGAACGACCACATGGCATGTAGCCTGTTCAAGTAGGCAGCAAGTTTTCAAGGCTTCCTCCTAGTTTGACCGTGTCCTTGTATCGGTGAGTTTCAGAGTCGGAATGTATGGGCTGTTTTGAGAGAATTTTTGGGGCTTTGCGGGCTTTGAATGGCTAGGAGATGCGCAGCAATCGTGAGATGGTTCTTGGAGCCTTGCGGGGCAATGGTCTGATGCTGGAGCATGCCTCCGCAGATTTGCGAGGTGCTGACCTGATTCTTCCTTGTGTTTTCTTATGTTTTCTTTCTTTTTGTTTCTCTCCTATCTCTCTCGCTCTCTCTTCAAACCGGGTAGCGCAATGAGTGAGAAGGTATGCATTTTTGGGATGAACGATGTCCTCAAGCAACTTGATACACTTCTTGGACCTGGCAGAGGTGATCGTGAGCTTGCCCTAGCAGCAGTGATGTCAAACCCTTCTGCTCTTCAGATCCTTGGTTGCATTAAACCAAGATTTGACCCATTCAGCTTGAGGGGCGCCCCTGCATTTCTGGCTGACACCAGTTGACACGGGTGAGTCGAGGTTTGCCAGTGAGAGGTTGCAAGGCACCAAAGAGGTGGTCCTGGCTGCAGTGGCCAAGGAGTCTTTTGGTTCCATGATGTTCAATCAATGAAACGGATGGTCGGCACATGGCGTGTGGCTACCAAGAATTCTCTTCACAACCAAGTGTATATTGTACATACAGATATGCATAAGGTATATATATATATATAGGGGTGGGGGATCAACATCAAGCTTGGTGGCTGAGGTGCGGCGAACTCAACTGAAGTAGTGTTGCAGAAGTGATTTCATGCCCTAAGGGCTTGCATACCAAGTGGATCCAAGTGGTGTTTTGAAGGTGCATTTTTTTTTTTTGGAAGACCAAGCCTTGAGCGCAGTCAAACTCGTGTCCGACACCTATTCGAATCATGTCATATCCTAGTGGTCTGATTTATATATCTGATTTATCGAGCTTTACCGTCATCTGTAATTGTTTGCATCGCATGGTGCGATTGCAGGATGGCTATGCGCTTCGGTATGCTTCAAGTTTGATGAAGGCCCCACATTTGGGACCAAACGGAAGCTTCTGATAGCAGTCAGTTGTCACCGCACAGGAAGTAACAGTGTTTCGCAAGTCTGTCGATTCTTTCTTGACCCGTCCTTCCCTTGCCTTGCCCGTCCTTTTTTGGCTTGCCTTCCCCTTCCATCCCTTCCCTCTCTCCCCTTTTGGCATCAGGAGATTCTGCTCTAGGACAGCTCATTGGTTTGTTCACCTCTTCATCCGCGTGCTGCGTTCATTCCTGTCCTCGACCTTTTTCACTGCCTTTGTGAGTCACAAGAGTGGCGCAGGATTGACACCAGTTATAGTGACAACCTGCTGCTCATGCAAAAGGCAACTGAAAGTGAGCCTGTCGCAGGCCGACCGTGACGTAGTAGCAGATCCTTGGCTGCAAGATGTCGGAGAATATGTTTTTCATGCTGCCGGATTGAGTAAAGATTCATGTGACTCGTGTGAGAGAAAATCATGACTCAATCCATTGGCTTTGCGTTAGCTGATGAATGTTGATGTCCCCAACGCCAGTGGCACATCTAATCAGGCTGCCGTCGCGCAGGCTGGAGAGAGACTCGGCTGGAGAGAAGCCTGATGCATAGACCTGCCATGGGCTGACAGGTGATTGCTCAGCAAATGCTCGACTGCAATTCAATTAGTTCTCACCAGTCTGGCTTGGTCTGGATGATTGAAGATACTCCTAGGACATCAGTGGAAGATATACTGTAATGTGCAACTCCTTCTATATAATGTTGTACATGCTGTAGGCTGTATATAGCAGTTTTGCCTCAGTGACACGCACGCATACACACACAACCTCGGGTGGCATTGTTTAAACAATCCACTGCATTGAATACCTGTCATAAAGGCCTTTATATAATTGATCGATCATCGCGGACTTTTGGGGCAGGCCAAGGCTGTGTGCCATGGGGAGTGGGCGTAGTTGCGCACAGTTTGTAGGCTGACATGAGAGCTCAGGTGTATTTGGGTGGCTGACGAGTGCTTGCAAGACGATCCTGAGATTGCAAAGCTCGTTTCTGGACGCATTGTGGACGTGCTGGTGTGAAGTAGGCAGCTGTTTCAACAATGTAGAGAGAAGTGCATTGATTCACAATCTAAAGAGACAACATGTTGTTTTGCAGCCTTTAGATTGCTTATGATGGCCAGTCCGTTCGCGTGCCTCAATCTCGACGCAGCTGAGGTGAAACAGCATCCAAGCTGGAATGGTTTTGGATTGATTTAGTGGTATGTATTGTCAATATTTCTGACCGTGTAGCAGGCAGCGAGACAACCAGAAAATATAACAGATTGCCAAGGCATGAGGAAGGAGATACAAGATCATTGCCCTCATCAGGCCCAGATATGACATGAGCAGCTTCACTGAGCAGGACCATGAGGATTTGTCAAAAGGAACATACCAGGACCTATAAAGCAGAAGTCATTCCGGCATGCTGAACGGATCCTCGCTGGCAGGTTTTGCTGAAGTCTCCTGGGCTGAAACTGGCCTTGAGAAGACCCACTTGTAATCCCGGCTGTCTCACCACGATGACAAGACCCGCACAAGACCCCACACATCGGGGGAGTCGACGAATCCTTGCGCATTTGGCAAGGAAATTTGTGGTATCATAGAACCACAGCATTGGAATCCTCACAAAGATTGAGGGCTTGGAGTGGTTTGCCGCCGCGTGCAGTGGTCATTCAGATCAAAGTTGTCGCAGCTTTGGAGTGGAAGAATTCCATGGACTCCCAGTGCGGTTGATATGCGCTTGATCTCAACACCCATCAGGATGTGTCTTTGTCCAAAGGTGCTGGTGAACCTCTTGCAGTATTTCCACGAACACGCACAACCAACTAGCAGCAGGCGTGTTTGAGCTAGCATTTACCACAGCCTTCCGATTAATGTGAATTTGCAGAGCATCTCGTGCCTATGTTTGAAACATCAGCAATTCTCGAAGAGCACCCTTCTGAAGCATTCCCAGACCATTTGGTTTTATGTGTGGAAGGAGCAGTCAGTGTTCAAGTGTTCAAATCAGTTTATCCATTTCATGTGGTAAGCATCGTGCAGGTTGCCTTCTTTGCAGCATTGTCCAGCTTCCTGGCGTGCTTGTCTAAGTCTATTGTTTTGCTCGGCCAGAGGCTGAACGGAAGTATGATAGGGATGGGGGTACTTGTTAGTCTACCGGGTAGCTGCAAGTATCAAGTTTGGGTCGGCAGGGTCTTTTTTCAGAAGTTGCTCACTCCAATACTTGGGAAGCATCGTTGGTCTCTCGCTGCCTCCGTCGTCAATGTTTCGGCTCACGAGATACGAATAAAACACCTTTTGGCTATTCCGTCAGATGACTGATGGACAAGCACAGCCGGCTGATGATGGCACCGGGGAGGAGCTTCAAGAAAAGGATCTGAATGTGAGCATCCCACCGCCTCCAGAAGCACAACATGACCGACCAGCTCGGAAAAGAGCAAACAAGACGAAGACCTCTTTCATACAGGAGGGGTTGTCACCGCAGCCTAGTGACCTTGTGTGACTTAGTGTTGCCCCTCTTCGCATCTGAAGCAGATCAAGTTGACGTGTGTCGCCTTGGCGTAGAACATTAGGCGCACGTAGGCATGTTTTGGAATCTCTTCGCGCCGGATTCATTTTTGTTTTGCATATCCTAAAGATGCTCACAGTGTATACGACTGTAGCGAAGATATGCCCCCTGTGGGCTTACAACTTCTACCACGATTAGGATTGTCTTGAAGCCAGTGAGGGTCGGTTCAGTGGGGAGCAACATATACGGGAGTTGATCACGGGGCGTGTAAGGGCAGTATGCAAAACGACCTAATTTTAGATGCTGTCCAAACCATCTGCAAAAGATTTGCCATGAGGTTCGCTAAGGTATTTATATATTTAAAATATTTCTTTCTTCGTATCATGTCCTTTCTACCCGACACATGTTATGTGATAGAAATAAATATATGACAATCCTTTGGCAGTGCCAATGGGCAAAAGTGTCCCCACATGTACAGGATTGTCCTTCCCCAAGTGGACTCGCAAACTGCAAGTGCATCACACTTAGTTCAGCCCTGACAGTGGGGCGACGATCCGCAGCTCTGACAGGTTGTGTAGATGTTTGCGCATAGTATGCATTTTCAGGGAAAGCATCAGCAAATTTACGCGAAAGACCCGCGAAAGTTCCGTCAAAAGTTCCAGTTCCAAAGTTGAGCCCCGCATTTCCCCGAGCTGCAGTACCCTGTGTTGTTAGCTGGATTGAGTTGTGCGTTGTCACTCTATTCTGAACCTCCTCCTGGATATTAACGTTTGTCGCACACATGCTGAAGCGTTCAACCCTTGTGTGTAGGTTATGCTGCAAAAGGCTAGTCACTATTAATTAACATTAATTAATTAACTATTATTGTTTTCATATAGCTAAATTAAGTATGTTCAAACATATAGTTTGGCCACCACGAAAGAATATTGATCAACCACCATTTAGTTGAGCGAGAAACCCATATTGAATTGTTGAACAAAGATGTGTAATGACCCCAGGGATGCGTCTTGCCTCACATAGGCCTCTTGTAGGCTTTTGGTACACATGCTCAGGCGGACACCCAACTTCTAGCACGGTAGCGCGTGCCCGTTTCCAACTGTGTAAGCCAACAACCTTCTGTTTGCTTGATGGTCTTGTTTGACGACGACCGGAGCAGCATCAACAGGAGCAGGCCATAGGACGAGGAGTCATAGTAACAGGTTCTGCCGCATACACATGCATAGGCAGTAGGCATGCTTCAAGCATCAATGGGGTGGGCATGCGTAGGCTCTGACATAGGCGCCCAGACATGATAACACTCCACACAATTACCAAGAAAAAACATGTTTGTCACCGCTTGTGCTACTTGGGGCTTGCCCATCACATAGTCGACGAACACACCAGGAGTCTGATGATTGCACCGCTGGGGAAGAGCTTCAGCAAGCGGATGTTAATGTGAGCCTCCCTCTGCCTCCAGATGCAGACCATGACCGACCAGCCCGGAAAAGACCAGACAAGACGAAGACCTCTTTCATGCAGGACGATTTGTGAGCCTTAGGGTCTTAGGGTTGTCAGTTTTTGCATCCAAAACAGTTGACTTACATCTCTACCTGCTTCTCGCATCATACCCATTACCGCGTGCAGGACTTTTGCGCCTGCTGCACCCATACTGAGCAGGTTGATGATCTGAATCCTACAGTTATTGGCGAATGTTTGGAGCATTTGGCCATCAAAACAAGGTTCAGCATTCGCAACATTTGCTGTGACTCGGAAGTACGTTTGATTGAGCGGATTGTCACTCCACTTCCTGGAGTTGAGAGTGTGTCCATCAACACCTTCCAGAAGATTTGCATCGCAGTCCACTGCCCAAGCTGTACCACACCAGACTCTATCGTTGAAAAGCTTAACCGCTCGGGTTTGGGTGCTGCCTTGCTCGGCCAAGGAAACATGGAGATCAACCCTGAGGCTCCAAGCCTAAGAGATATGTTCCATCGCCACAGCCGCCAGGTACTGGTCGTGGTGTCAGCTCTGCTATTGACCATGGGGCTCGTTGGGTCGGGCGAGGTTTTGCTTCTTCTGGCACTGGTGGTGGGCTTGCTTGCGATCTTGCGCGAGTCGCTGGTCACTCTGAGGATGCTGGTCTGGAGATGTTTCAAAAATTTTTTCAACACCTTAGCCTAGTTTGATGCCTTTTGGACCATTCTTGAAGATCATGGAATGAGTCCCAAGGATCCAACATTCAAAAGGATCCAACTCAAAAGCCGATGAGTAACCAAGCATAAGCACAGCAGAAGCCGTCCTTGCAACCTCAATCAACCAAACCGGTTCCTTTCGAGTCCGTCAACTAAGGAAGGGGCAGATTGACATCAGCACCTTGGTGGTTTTGGCTTCCCTCGCTGCCGCCATGCAAGGTGAAAGAGCAGATTCTGCTTTGGTAGTCTTGCTCTTCAACATCTCAAAGGTGGACACGAAGACAAAAAGCACTCGGAGTGTCTACTGTTTTAAGATGTTTTAAAGGGATGTTGGACATATTGACATTGACATGCCAACACTCTTTGCTGCGCCTTTGGAGCGCCACTAATGATGCACGGACCTGGTGCACGCTGTAGCTCTGCTAGTCGCCCGAACGATTTCGAGTCGATTCAACGCGGAACCGTCGCGGAACCGAAGGTGGTGGAATCAGTGGCGCTGAATCGAGTCTCCAGTGCACTGCGGGCCGTGTTGCAATTGCAGGCAGTCCACACAGTGCATTTGGTGGAAGGCAAAGCTGTGCCAGTCTCGGAGCTGAAGCTTAGACAAGAAAACAATAGAAAACATCAAACAGGATTTCTCTTAGTCTTGAAACTTTGGTGCACCGCTTGTCTTTAACATAAAGGGGCTTGGGCACTTGTGACATGTTGTGAACTCATTCAGCTTGACATGTCAGAGTATTTGAGGAAACCAGGAGATGAGATTGCCCTGCGGCCTGGGGAGGAATGCCCTGCAGACGGCTTGGTGTCAAAAGGTTCGGCTTCTTGCTCAGAGGCTGCTCTATCCGGAGAGTCCAGACCAGTTCACAAGCAGAAGGGCGACCTGATCTCCTCTGGCGCAGTGATTCTCAATGGATATTTGGAAGTCACCTTGACGACAGCTAGTTCCCAAAGTGCCCTATCACTAATTGAAGCACAGGTTGAGGAGGCTCAGATGAAAAGGACAGACAAACACCTGATGATCCAGCGCTTTGCGCGTTTGTGGACTCCCAGTATCATCTTTGCAGTGCTGGTGATTTGCATCTTGATTCCTCTCTTGACCAATGGTGATTTCCAAACCTGGAGCCATCGTGGCCTTGTGGTGCTGCTCACCGCATGCCCATGTGCGATTGTCATCGGAGCACCTTTGGCCACCACCTGTGCAATTGCTGCTGCAGCCTCTCACGGACTCCTCATCAAACGGCCTGAGACAGTGGAGAAGTTGCCGCACATTGCAGCCGTGGGACTGGACAAGACTGGAACCCTAACAAAAGGTGAGCTGAGTGTACTTGCAGCAGAGAAGCTCGGTGATCCAAACTTAGAAGAAGAAGTGGTGCTGAAATGGGCTGCAGCTCTGGAGCTGCGATCTTCTCACCCTATTGCTGCTGCAATTGTGTCAAAAGCTCTTGGCTGCGTTGGGGAAGCCTTGGAATATACTGACCTTCCAGAAGTAACAAATTTCCGTGTCTTGCCAGGAGTTGGGATACAAGGTTTTGTCCCCAGCAAAACTGGCTCGTCGAAGGTGATTCTTGGGAACAAGCGAGCCCTGGATGTGGCCAATGCTGACCCATCAGACCATTCTCGCTTCATCGCTTTCCAAGAGAAATATCATCATCACACAGCAGTTGCCATCATGATTGATGGCAAACTTCAGTTTGGCCTAGCTTTGAATGATACCATCAGGCAGGAAGCAGCCAAGATGGTTGAGGATTTCAAAACCATCGGCTTCAAACCCGCAATGTTAACAGGAGACACTGCAGAAGCTGGTGCTTTTGTCGCACAGTCGTTGGGGCTAGATGATGAACTATGTCGGTTTGCTATGACACCGGACCAGAAGCACGAGTGGGTTGCTTCAAGCGTGCCTTGATCATCCTTGACCACGGAAATTAATAGCTGTTTTTTGCACATCAATCCTGTTCCAGCGATTGCTTCCTCAAAGAGTCTTGCGGCATGTTTTCATGATTGGACTCAAATCGCTTGCCAAGGAGTCGGAGGGGCGCCATGTCTTGATCCTGGGTGATGGCATAAACGATGCCACTGCCCTGGCAGCGGCCCATGTGGGCGTCGCCATCGGTGAAACTGGGGCGGCCTTAGCGGCACAGCCTGGGACCTAGTGGATGGCATTTTCAATAGGATGAACTGAACGGGGAGTCTTAGGAAAATGTCAGGACATTGGTTGACCATTGAGACAGGTCGTTATTTGCATTGAGACAAGTTATTTTTGCATGTTTTTGCCGTGTTTACTCACGTAGTTGCTCACGTTTGCTTGTGTTTGGTTTAAGGATGGTTTGAGTACATTTTTGCTTCATGTGAGTCTCGAGGGTCCGTGCTGTAAAAGAGTGAGAGGTCTGCAGACATTGTGATGATGACCGACAAGTTATACCGACTTCCACAATGCGTGTTGCTTTGTCGCTATGCCCTTCGCATTGAGAGACTGAATATTGCAATTCCATGCATAGTGAAGCTTCTCCAAGCCGGCATTGTCGCTTAACTCCAATCCATGGAACATCATTTCCTGATATTTTTCCCCAATAGCCATGCTATGGGGTCTTGCAAAACTAATAGGCGGACGGGCGCCGTCGGGTCACCGTCAGAGCTGGTGGGCGGATGGTGTCCCGGTCATGTTTTGATGGCGTCCGGGTCATGTGATGCTGGTGTCCTGGTCATGTTTTGATGGTGTCCCGATCATGTTTTGATTGTGACCAAGTCATGTTGTGATGGTGTCCCGGTCCTGTTTTGATGGTGTGCCGGTCATGTTTTGATGGTGTCCCGGTCATGTGATCATGTGATGGTGGCGCGGTCATGTTGTGATGGTGTCCCGGTCATGTTTTGATGGTGTCCCGATCATGTGATGGTGGCGCGGTCATGTGATGGTGTCCCGGTCATGTTTTGATTGTGTCCCAGTCATGTTGTGATGGTGTCCCGGTCATGTTGTGATGGTGTCCCGGTCATGTTTTGATGGTGTCCCGGTCATGTTGTGATGGTGTCCCGGTCATGTTGTGATGGTGTCCCGGTCATGTTTTGATGGTGTCCGGGTCATTTGACGGTGTCCCGGTCATGTTGTGATAGTGTCCCGATCATGTGATGGTGGCGCGGTCATGTTGTGATGGTGTCCCGGTCATGTTTTGATGGTGTCCCGG